AAAGGACCGAACCCACAGCCCATCCAACAGAGCTCGCCGGTCTCCGAGCTGAGCTGGTCCGACTCCTTCAGATTTTCAGGCTCCAGGAGCTCCTGGTGGACAATCTAACCTCCCTGCTTTTCCAGTTACCGGCTCCACCAGGTCCTGCGCCACCAGTCCAGTCTGCGCCAGGTCCCGCGCCACCAGTCCAGTCTGCGCCAGGTCCCACGCCACCAGTCCAGTCTGCGCCAGGTCCCGCGCCACCAGTCGAGTCAGCGCCAGGTCCCGCGCCACCAGTCCAGTCAGCGATAGGTCCCGCGTCACCCGTCCAGTCAGCGCCAGGTCCCGCGCCACCCTTCCAGTCAGTGCCAGGTCCCGCGGTGGTCCAATAGGCTCCGCCCCCGGGCCAGCCTGTCCAAGAGTCTCCGCCCCGGATCCAGCCTGTCCAAGAGGCTCCGTCCCCGGGCCAAACTGTCCAAGAGGCTCTGCCCCCGGGCCAGCCGGTCCAGTTGTCAGCGCACAGTCCGGCGGCACCAGCCAAGGAAGCGGTCCCGTCTGCAGCGGTTCCGCCTCGACTCCCGAAGTTGGCGGCCCCTCCTGCGGCGCCTCCACTCCAGAAATCGGCAGCGCCTCCAGTCCAGAAGTCGATGCCTCCAGTCCAGAAGTCGATGCCTCCAGTCAGGAAGTCGGCGCCTCCAGTCAGGAAGTCGGCGCCTCCAGTCCAGAAGTCGACGCCTCCAGTCCAAAAGTCGACGCCTCCAGCCCGGAGGTCGACGCCTCCAGCCCAGATGTCAACGCCCCCAGCCCAGGGGTCGACGTCGCCTCCAGCCCAGGGGTCGACGTCTCCTCCTCCAGCCCAGAGGTCGGCGACGTCTCCTCCTCCAGCCCAGAGGTCGGCGACGTCTCCTCCAGCCCAGAAGTCGACGACGTCTCCTCCAGCCCAGAAGTCGACGACGTCTCCTCCAGCCCAGAATTCGACGACGTCTCCTCCAGCCCAGAAGTCGACGTTGTCTCCTCCAGCCCAGAAGTCGACGACGTCTCCTCCAGCCCAGAAGTCGACGACGTCTACACCAGCCCAGAAGTCGACGACGTCTCCACCAGCCCAGAAGTCGACGACGTCTCCTCCAGCCCAGAAGTCGACGACGTCTCCTCCAGCCCAGAAGTCGACGACGTCTCTTCCAGCCCAGAAGTCGACGACGTCTCCTCCAGCCCAGAAGTCGACGACGTCTCCTCCAGCCCAGAAGTCGACGACGTCTCCTCCAGCCCAGAAGTCGACGACGTCTCCTCCAGCCCAGAAGTCGACGACGTCTACACCAGCCCAGAAGTCGACGACGTCTCCACCAGCCCAGAAGTCGACGACGTCTCCTCCAGCCCAGAAGTCGACTACGTCTCCTCCAGCGTCTCTACCTGCCGAGTCTACCCCTGCAGTGGCTCTGCCTCCGGTCACCGCCGGTCCTGCCCTCGCCAGGTGCGGAGGGACCACGCCTACAGCCCATCAGACGAAGCTCGCCGGCCTCCAAGTGTAGCTTGACCGGCTCCGTCAACTCATCAGCCTCCAGGAGTTCCAGCTGGACACCCTATCCTCCTCGTATCTCCAGGAGAAGGTTTCTGTCCAGCCAGCGGCCCCGCCTCCGGTCCAGTCAGCAGCTCCCGCGTCTCCAGGCCAAAGGACCGAGCCCACAGCCCATCCAACAGAGCTCGCCGGTCTCCGAGCTGAGCTGGTCCGACTCCGTCAGATTTTCAGTCTCCAGGAGCTCCTGGTGGACAATCTAACCTCCCTGCTTTTCCAGTTACCGGCTCCACCAGGTCCTGCGCCACCAGTCCAGTCTGCGCCAGGTCCCGCGCCACCAGTCCAGTCTGCGCCAGGTCCCGCGCCACCAGTCCAGTCAGCGCCAGGTCCCGCGCCACCAGTTCAGTCAGCGCCAGGTCCCGCGCCACCAGTCCAGTCAGCGCCAGGTCCCGCGCCACCAGTCCAGTCAGCGCCAGGTCCCGTGCCACCCGTCCAGTCAGCGCCAGGTCCCGCGCCACCCGTCCAGTCAGCGCCAGGTCCCGCGCCACCCGTCCAGTCAGCGCCAGGTTCCGCGCCACCCGTCCAGTCAGCGCCAGGTTCCGCGCCACCCGTCCAGTCAGCGCCAGGACCCGCGGTGGTCCAAGAGTCTCCGCCCCCGGGCCAGCCTGTCCAAGAGTCTCCACCGCCGGGCCAGCCTGTCCAGTTGTCAGCGCACAGTCCGGCGGAACCAGCCAGGGGAGCGGTCCCGTCTGCAGCGGCTCCACCTCCACTCCAGAAGTTGGTGGCCCCTCCTGCGGCGCCTCCACTCCAGAAGTCGGCGGCGCCTCCACTCCACAAGTCGGCGGTGCCTCCAGTCCAGAAGTCGACGCCTCCAGTCCAGAAGTCGACGCCTCCAGTCCGGAAGTCGACGCCTCCAGCCCGGAAGTCGACGCCTCCAGCCCGGAAGTCGACGCCTCCAGCCCGGAAGTCGACGCCTCCAGCCCAGAGGTCGACGCTTCCAGACCAGACGTCGATGCCTCCAGCCCAGACGTCGACGTCGCCTCCAGCCCAAGGGTCAACGTCTCCTCCTCCAGCTCAGAGTTGAACTCCTCCTCCTCCAGCCCAGAGGTCGGCGACGTCTCCTCCAGCCCAGAAGTCAACGACGTCTCCTCCAGCCCAGAGGTCGACGACGTCTCCTCCAGCCCAGAGGTCGACGACGTCTCCTCCAGCCCAGAAGTCGACGACGTCTCCTCCAGCCCAGAAGTCGACGACGTCTCCTCCAGCCCAGAAATCGACGACGTCTCTACCAGCCCAGAAGTCGACGACGTCTCCTCCAGCCCAGAAGTCGACTACGTCTCCTCCAGCGTCTCTACCTGCCGAGTCTACCCCTGCAGTGGCTCTGCCTCCGGTCACCGCCGGTCCTGCCCTCGCCAGGTGCGGAGGGACCACGCCTACAGCCCATCAGACGAAGCTCGCCGGCCTCCAAGTGTAGCTTGACCGGCTCCGTCAACTCATCAGCCTCCAGGAGTTCCAGCTGGACACCCTATCCTCCTCGTATCTCCAGGAGAAGGTTTCTGTCCAGCCAGCGGCCCCGCCTCCGGTCCAGTCAGCAGCTCCCGCGTCTCCAGGCCAAAGGACCGAGCCCACAGCCCATCCAACAGAGCTCGCCGGTCTCCGAGCTGAGCTGGTCCGACTCCGTCAGATTTTCAGTCTCCAGGAGCTCCTGGTGGACAATCTAACCTCCCTGCTTTTCCAGTTACCGGCTCCACCAGGTCCTGCGCCACCAGTCCAGTCTGCGCCAGGTCCCGCGCCACCAGTCCAGTCAGCGCCAGGTCCCGCGCCACCAGTTCAGTCAGCGCCAGGTCCCGCGCCACCAGTCCAGTCAGCGCCAGGTCCCGCGCCACCAGTCCAGTCAGCGCCAGGTCCCGTGCCACCCGTCCAGTCAGCGCCAGGTCCCGCGCCACCCGTCCAGTCAGCGCCAGGTCCCGCGCCACCCGTCCAGTCAGCGCCAGGTTCCGCGCCACCCGTCCAGTCAGCGCCAGGTTCCGCGCCACCCGTCCAGTCAGCGCCAGGACCCGCGGTGGTCCAAGAGTCTCCGCCCCCGGGCCAGCCTGTCCAAGAGTCTCCACCGCCGGGCCAGCCTGTCCAGTTGTCAGCGCACAGTCCGGCGGAACCAGCCAGGGGAGCGGTCCCGTCTGCAGCGGCTCCACCTCCACTCCAGAAGTTGGTGGCCCCTCCTGCGGCGCCTCCACTCCAGAAGTCGGCGGCGCCTCCACTCCACAAGTCGGCGGCGCCTCCAGTCCAGAAGTCGACGCCTCCAGTCCAGAAGTCGACGCCTCCAGCCCGGAAGTCGACGCCTCCAGCCCGGAAGTCGACGCCTCCAGCCCAGAGGTCGACGCTTCCAGACCAGACGTCGATGCCTCCAGCCCAGACGTCGACGTCGCCTCCAGCCCAAGGGTCAACGTCTCCTCCTCCAGCTCAGAGTTGAACTCCTCCTCCTCCAGCCCAGAGGTCGGCGACGTCTCCTCCAGCCCAGAAGTCAACGACGTCTCCTCCAGCCCAGAGGTCGACGACGTCTCCTCCAGCCCAGAGGTCGACGACGTCTCCTCCAGCCCAGAAGTCGACGACGTCTCCTCCAGCCCAGAAGTCGACGACGTCTCCTCCAGCCCAGAAGTCGACGACGTCTCCTCCAGCCCAGAAGTCGACGACGTCTCCTCCAGCCCAGAAGTCAACGTTGTCTCCTCCAGCCCAGAAGTCGACGACGTCTCCTCCAGCCCCGAAGTCGACGACGTCTCCACCAGCCCAGAAGTCGACGACGTCTCCACCAGCACAGAAGTCGAAGACGTCCCCACCAGCCCAGAAGTCGACGAAGTCTCCTCCAGTCCAGAAGTCGACGACGTCTCCTCCAGTCCAGAAGTTGACGACGTCTCCTCCAGTCCAGAAGTCGACGACGTCTCCTCCAGTCCAGAAGTCGACTACGTCTCCTCCAGCGTCTCTACCTGCCGAGTCTACCCCTGCAGCGGCTCTGCCTCCGGTCACCGCCGGTCCTGCCCTCGCCAGGCGCAAGCCTCCCAGAGCCCGCCGCCGTCTCCTCCTCTGCCCCAGACGCAGGCCCCCCCAGAGCCTGTCACCGTCTCCTCCTCTGCCCCAGACGCAGGCCCCCCAGAGCCCGTTGTCGTCTCCTCCTCTGTCCCAGACGTAGGCCCCTCAGAGCCCGTCGCCGTCTCCTCCTCTGCCCCAGACGCAGGCCCCTGGACTCTACTGGTCCCTGCCTCTTCTCCACCAGTCCCTCGGTTCCTCTCGGCCCTCCTTCCTGGTCCCCCTCCTCCCGCCCTGCTCTGTGTTCCTGTGGGCCTCTGGAATCCGCTCTCTGGGGGGTGGGGTGGGGGTGGGGGGTTCTTTTATTGTGGGCAGTATAAGGTACACCTGTGCACTACTCATGATGTCGGATCAGCATCTTGATGTGGCATACCTGTGAGGTGGGATGGATTATGTCACACCCTGTCCTGTCTCCCCATTCTCTTCAGTCATGTGTCTCTGTTAATTGCTCCCACCTACCTCTCTTTTTCCAATCACCCAAGCTCCCAGCCCTCATGTATTTAAACCCTCTCAGTTCTGTGTCTTTTGACGGTTTATTGTTTCAGTGTCCAGCGCGTTTTTATATTAAACTTTACTAAACGTTCGTGTCTATCTGCCTGCCTTCCTCACCCGCATGTGGATCCTCACCTCCGCTTCACTCACCAGCATGCCGTGACAGATTATCTCAGCAATGCAGAAGTGCTCACTATCACACATTTAGATTGATTTGTGAACAATGTTTGAGAAAAATGGTAATATTGTGTATCTGGAATGTATTTTAGATCTTTATGTCCATCTCATGGAAAATCGGAGCAGAAACAAAGGTGTTGCGTTTATATTTTTGTTGAGTGTATGTGTAAATGCGGTGTTGGTCAGAACTTCAGAATCTCGGAAAGCGGCGTCTCTGGATGAAAAAGAATTTGGTTTGTTCTAAACTATGATGTTATCTTCAGAAGCACATTCAGACGCAATCTCTGTGTTCTACCTCACCCTTTTGATGACCTTCGTCACGGATTCGGAGGTCAGAGAGGCAGGATGACCTCTGGGCACCCAGGTCCGGTAGATTGACTGCGAGCACCGACTTCTCCGGTCCAAAAGATATCACCACGCAGCACAGGTTGGAATCAGCTTGCGTCTCAGGAATAACTCTTAAGGAGTTGAACAATATCAGCTTTGTTCTGCATGAACTGTTTGCTGTCTCAGCTTTGTAGGTGCAAAAAGGTTTTGATGATGTGTCAAAATCTTTGATTATTAAAGAGATATGCTAAAGATGGCCGGTCTGAAGCTTTCTCTAGAACTGGCAAATCACTCAAAGTGATTTAGTTTTAAAGAATTTATGTTATGATTTTCACAGTCAATCAGAGGCTGACAGGAAAGAAGATGTTACCAAGACAACTCAGAAACACGCCTTCTTTAATATGGAAGTCCTGACTGGTAAAGAAAACAAGTTATGTGTTGTAGTCTAACTTAACCGTACTTGTTATTGTGGATGTGCAGGTGTGAGGACCTTGTCGTCAAAACATCTGAGGAGACAGAAAAATGGGAACGGTGCGGTAAAGTTATGAGGAAAAACAGTTCAGAAGTTAACCTTTCTACCTATTACTTACCTAAAAATGTTTTTGTGTAACAGATGATGCATTCTGGATAATTGGAGTGTCGAGAAAACCGGATGACTTTTGAACGTTTTGGTGAGTAGGCAGTTTTAAGACCGCTAACGGACTAGCAGCAAAAGCTTATCTTAAAGTGAAACTGAGTTGGAAAAAACTTATGTGCTAAAATGTTTAAGTACCAGTTCACTGACAGTATGTTGAAAATGTATTGGTTTTAATCACTAGTATGAAGCTAGTCTGGTGACATTGAGGGGGGGGAGGGACCTTGCCACGCAGTCGTGGCCGCAAGTTATTTTTCCCCCTCAAATGTCACCAGACAGGCACCATAATAGGAGTTTTCCATTTGCTGTAACATTTTTTCTTTGCCAAATAACCTCCACTTTGTACAGCGATACTGCTAAAAGATGGTGATGAAACCAGAGACCTGATTTGTTTATGAATGGGTAAATTAAATGATTCTGTACTTAATTATTTAAAGAAAACTTCACATCTGTGAAAACACTTTTGTTAAAAACAGATTTACAGCCATGATTTAAGGTTATATTTTTATCTTTTGGGAAGAAATTATTACAAAGAAAAACATTGTAATAAAAATGGATTTTTGTAAAGATTTATTGTGCTCAATAGTAATCTTTGACATGCTATATACAGGGTACATGTGCTATATATGACTATCAGAGGTATTGGCCAGACTCAGCATTAAAATTGTAAAAATTCAGTGTAACTATACTTTACCAATTATATAAATATGAACTTGGTTCAGTTTTTCATTTTGTTAAAGAGCAAGTCACCCTCAAATCAACTTTTTTGCTATTAAACTATATAAATGAGTCTCTAATCGTTAGAGGTATAACAGTACGCTAAAATCGTATTCGATTCGGTTCAGTGTTTTGAAGAGCTCAGTTCAAATCGTTTTCTGTATATTATTATATTTATTTATTTTTTGTCTGAAGCGGCTTCTGTAGTGAGCAGAACCAGGTGTCCTCACAAGCTGCTGATCTAGTATGATGTCTTTAAATATTTCACAGTTTATTTGCGCAGCTATGAGTGTCACTCTCATACGTGTTTGACTGTTGATGCGCCTTGTTTTTATTTCTGCAGTGAGCCTTAAAAACTCACCTCAGACTGCCCACTTTCTTCTTTAAAACTCATATTAGAGGGTGTCCGCAGGTCCTTAAAAAGTCTTAAAGTTTTAAATTTGCTTTTTTAAATTTAAGGTCTTAAAAATCATTAGAAATGACAAATAATCCTTAATTACAGTTTCCAAATGTCTTAAATTACCAAAGACCCAATGAACAAGAATTTGTAGTTAGTGTTCAGCATTTTTTGTTTATGATATTGGCATAAGTGGAACTGTACACATTCAGTTGGTTGTGAAAGGGGGCTATTTTTAGATGAGCACATTAGCTGGTTAAGCTAGTGGGAGCTTGCACCATGGGGAAGTGCAAGTTTAATGGTAACTGGGTGGGTAATCCCACGTTTGCGACGTGGTTAGCACCAGTGCCAGGCAATAGCTGAAAATTATAGCTTAAATATAATTAAAAAATAGCTTAAATTTGGTCAAAGTGGCCTTAAAAAAGGTCTTAAAAAGCCTTAAATTTGGCTCCCTTAAACCTGCAGATACCCTGTTAAATAACGAGCTTTCTCCGCATCGTATTTTTTGTTGTAGAATGAAAACATTACATCAACTGCCGTGGGGGAAAAGTTCAGTAGACATGTTGTTTACGTTCAGCGTCTCTACTGTCTCCACAGTAGCAGCGACAGCCAGCTGGTTTGATCTGCTCAGAAAGACGTTGATCAGAATTTGCAGATCACCTTTTTTAATCGGAGATCAGGTGCGTGCAACCATCATGCGTCACTCAATACAGCGTCGGTGCGGAAACTCGCCTATGAACTTTGATCTGCTGCACTTAAATCATGCAAACAAAATTTCATTATTTAATGGAAAATGAACCAAAATGGTACGCAAGTGGCCCGAACCGTTAAACCCCTAATATATACATGCAGCTGTAAAATTGGCAGCACATAATTTTGTTTTTTTTTCTGTAGATTACTGAATTACACATCAGGACAGTATGATGGAGTTAAGACCTGTAGTCAGCTGAGAGCTCCCGGTGGTACGAGCACAAACATTTAATATTTAACAAAAGTAAACAAACTGTACCGATTTTGGTTCTTAAGACTAACAGAATCCTTCCCGGTGTCCAAATCGGGTCGCGGGTCTTCTGCGTCAAACGGTCCAAAACATGTCTGCACCTCCGGTAGTGATATCCAGCTAGCGGGGTCGGAGTTCGGTTGAACTTCTCCGGTAATCATCCCAGAGAAAAAAACAATCTGACCGACTAGCAGAGGCTTCAGAAGCTACATCTTGACTGATGACACATTGTTCTCAGCTATAACTCTAACACAGAAACATCGTAGTCAGGTGCTTTTTCTTCAGACCTCCTGTGAAACGTCACCAGCTGTCCAGGGCTTAGACCTGAAGCTAGTTTCTGTTTTTCCCGCGCCAGTCAGAAACATCAGATTTTCTTCAAATTCCAGCCGTGAAAATCCAAAAACATTTTTCATTGAGGTTTTATACTTTAAACATGCCATTCAAAGGAATTTAGCCTGTGGCCAATATCATTAAGATAGATTTTGAGTACTAGATAGTAAAGCCTCTATTCTGTGGTTAGAAGTCTCCTCGACGAGGGAGTGGAGAGCCGGACCAGAACACATCATCTCCTTTTCCAAGGGTGATGAACGAGATGTACTGAACCTCACTGAGGAAACAGCACCGGCAGGATTCAGCAGTGTGGTAGGACTGACTTTGGGTTGCAATGATTATAAATTTATAAAAAAAAACTTTGCCCCCTCAGAGTTTTCATGAATGTTAACTAGATCTATTAAACCTTAAAGGGCTTTCTGATCAGTTTATCTCTGCTGTCAAATTGGCATTTTTGACATGTGATTCGATGAGGATTAGCTCTCTTCTGGTGGATGAGGGTGGAAATGCATTTTTTTTTTTGCCTCTTCCTTGTTGGCTTCACTTTCATACCAGAATTATGGGGGCTGTCGTGGTGGAAATTATTCCATCTAACCACTCCCTGGTTCTTTGGAGGTGACCCTGAAGAGAGATCCACACTTTAAGCTAGGGCTGGGCGATATGGCCTAAAACTAATATCACAATATATTGAGGATTTAACCTCAATAATGATAAATGGACCATAACTGCAGGTAAGTTGTCCACTAGATGGGGCTGTCACATGTATTATATTTAGTCACATTTTTACGCATCTCAAGGTGGTACAGCTTCTTAAAGGGACATGAATGTTGCCCAGCTACACACATCTTTTCATTTTTTTATTATCAAATTTATTGACATGGGAAAAATGATCTCGATAAGAGCCAGAAATTTCGATAACGATACATTTTCGATTTATTGCCCAGCCCTACTTTAAGCCCATTATAATATGTACACACACAAAGATCTTTGGTTGGCTTCTGGTGAGAAGAACACAAGCAGTTCCCTGCCGATGTATCTTCTAACTTTCGACTCTTCTCGTCAGCCCTTTTATTGAATTGCATGAAAATTTTTTTTAATTTTACAACAGTTCCACAATAGACTGGGGCGTTCCCACTTCACAGTCATACACTACTCCTCCTCATGTGAGCGGTCTTCATGAGTTCACAGTCTAAAGCACCTTCTGACTTTCCCTGACCCTCAACATCCAAGACTTTTTCTAAGACTGAATTTGTGATCTCTGGCTCAGCAACGAGGTCAAAAGTTTATCAATCAGACACTTCCCCATGACATAACTCGTGATCTTCTTTTGACCACAAGCAGTAAGAGTCAGGCCATTGTTATAGAAACTTTCAACACCAATGTTTTCTGGAACGTTATCTCTGTTAGTCTGCAGCACTTCGACAAAGTTTTATTTCCTTATATATGAAGATTAAATGATTGACCAACACATTCATAACCTGACAGCAATTAGACTGAAGTTGACTATATTAGTTTAAACAGAAAAGGTTATATTGGTTAAGTGTAAAAATGATTATTCTCAAAAAGATTATATTGATTAGCTTTAAAAATGATTATGCTGATTAGGGCTGCAATGATTCCTCGAGTAACTCGAATGATTCGCTGACAAAAAATATTCGAGAATTTTCCGCTGCCTCGAGGACTCGTTAAATAGACCATAGCTGAATATCCGGCATTGCGCATGGATTCTTTATGTGTTGCGCAACGCGGTTACGTCACAGATTATACGTGCCATGTACTCTACTGCACAGCGCGCAGCGGTCTTTTCGTCTTTTCAGCTGGGTAGCCGACAATGGCAGACGCCATGGAAATAAATGAAAACGAGCAAGACCAAAACGAAGGATATAGTAAGCGACAGAAGTTTTCCAAGGCATGGGATCACTTTACATTAAAAAGCAAGGAAAACGCCATTGGATGCAAGCATTGCAAGGTGGAACTACCACAACAGCACTTCTTCCATGCTGCTGCACCTCTTAAGAAAGCATCCGACTGAGGGCATGAGTGAACGTGCCGAGATCAGGTAAATAAACTTTTTTTCAGGACGTAAATATTGACTCAGCTGTAGTGTCAATAAAATACATTTGTTTGTTATAAGTTAGTTTTAAATTTCTGCCCTAAAATGCATCTGTTAAGTGTATATTTTTAAAATTGGTTTACAAAAAAAAAAATCTTTGTGTAGCGGAGGCAAATGTGTATTATTTATTTGATATTCTGTATAAATATACAATATTACCTTACTTGATCTTTATTGTAAATATCAGAAGATTATAGGATTTTTGCTTTATTAAGTAATTATACACACCTCGTCTTGATTCAGAAAAGAGTCAGGTTTATAATTGTAAGAATTTATTTGAGAAACAATTAAAACATGACAAGTGAACTAAGCATTTACTGTGAATGGATGGAGCTAAAGGTGATGTAGGAACCTACACTCAACAAAAATATAAACGCAACACCTTTGTTTCTGCTCCGATTTTTCATGAGATGGACTTAAAGATCTGAAATTCAGTCCAGATACACAATATTACCATTTCTCTCAAACATTGATCACAAATCAGTCTAAATGTATGATAGTGAGCACCTGTGCTTTGCTAAGATAATCCATCCCACCTCACAGGTGTGCCACATCAAGATGCTGATCTGACATCATGAGTAGTGCACAGGTGTACCTTATACTGCCCACAATTAAAGGCCACCCAGGAATGTGCAGTTAATTGCTTTATTGGGGGTCTGGGGACTCAGAACCGGTCAGTATCTGGTGTGACCACCATTTGCCTTATGCAGTGCAACACATCTTCTTCGCATAGAGTTGATCAGATTGTCAATTGTGGCCTGTGGAATGTTGGTCCACTCCTCTTCAATGGTTGTGCGAAGTTGTTGGATATTAGTGGGAACTGGTACACGCTGTCGTATACGCCGGTCAAGCACATCCCAAACATGCTCAATGGGTGACATGTTCGGTGAGTATGCGTGGCCATGCAAGAACTGGGACATTTTCAGCTTCCAAGAATTGTGTACAGATCCTTGCAACATGAGGCCGTGCATTATCTTGCTGAAACATGAGGTAATGTTCATGGATGTACGGCACAACAATGGGCCTCAGGATCTCATCACGGTATCTCTGTGCATTCAAAATGCCATCAATAAAATGCACCTGTGTTCTTCGTCCATAACAGATGCCTGTCCATACCATAACCCCACCACCACCATTGGCCACTCGATCCACAACATTGACATCAGCAAATTGCTCATCCGCATGACGCCACACACGCTGTCTGCCATCTGCCCTGAACAATGTAAACCGAGATTCAACCGTGAAGACAACACCTCTCCAACATGCCAGACGCCATTCAATGTGAGCATTTGCCCACTCAAGTCTGTCACGGTGACGAGCTGGAGTCAGGTCAAGACCCCGATGGGGACGACGAGCATGCAGTTGAGCTTGCCTGAGACGGTTTCTGATTTAAACCCTCTCAGTTCTTTGTCTTTTGTTGGTTCATTGTTTCAGTGTCCAGCGTGTTTTTATATTAAACTATACTAAACGTTCGTGTCTATCTGCCTGCCTTCCTCACCCACATGTGGATCCTCACCTCCGCTTCACTCACCAGCACGCCGTGACAGAATGAACCAAACTCCTAAAGGATCCAGCGGGGAGGTTCTCCCCTGGGAGTACCTGCTTCAGTTCCTCACCTCAAACCACCGGCCGGCTTCTCCTCCTCCGGCGTCGCCTCGCCGCAGACGCCGCTGCCGAACCCCGGCCTCGGCGATCCTCTCCACCCTCCCGGAGCCAGTTGGGGGGTTGGACTGGGAGACGCAGCTAGACCGCTCCTGCTATGTGGGCACCAGACTGGCAGTCTGCTCCCCCAGAGTTAGCCCACGGTGTTGGGAAGGATGCCGGGCTCCAGCGTCAACCCCTGTCCCAGGACGGAACCACGGGCTCACCGCTACTCCGGCTTGGGACACCAGCTTGGACCCACCCCAGTCAGATCAGCGGCCCCATCTCCGGTCCAGTCAGCACCTCCTTCATCTACAGGCGAAGGGCCCACGCCTACAGCCCATCAGACGGAGCTCACCAGCCTCCAAGTGGAGCTTGACTGGCTCCGTCAACTCATCAGCCTCCAGGAGTTCCAGCTGGACATCCTATCCTCCTCGTATCTCCAGGAGAAGGTTTCTGTCCAGCCAGCGGCCCCACCTCCGGTCCAGTCAGCAGCTCCCTCGTCTCCAGGCCAAAGGACCGAACCCACAGCCCATCCAACAGAGCTCGCCGGTCTCCGAGCTGAGCTGGTCCGACTCCTTCAGATTTTCAGGCTCCAGGAGCTCCTGGTGGACAAACTAACCTCCCTGCTTTTCCAGTTACCTTCTCCACCAGGTCCTGCGCCACCAGTCCAGTCTGCGCCAGGTCCCGCGCCACCAGTCCAGTCTGCGCCAGGTCCCGCGCCACCAGTCGAGTCAGCGCCAGGTCCCGCGCCACCAGTCCAGTCAGCGATAGGTCCCGCGTCACCCGTCCAGTCAGCGCCAGGTCCCGCGCCACCCTTCCAGTCAGTGCCAGGTCCCGCGGTGGTCCAATAGGCTCCGCCCCCGGGCCAGCCTGTCCAAAAGTCTCCGCCCCGGAGCCAGCCTGTCCAAGAGGCTCCGTCCCCGGGCCAGCCTGTCCAAGAGGCTCTGCCCCCGGGCCAGCCGGTCCAGTTGTCAGCGCACAGTCCGGCGGCACCAGCCAAGGAAGCGGTCCCGTCTGCAGCAGTTCCGCCTCGACTCCAGAAGTTTGCGGCCCCTCCTGCGGCGCCACCACTCCAGAAATCGGCGGCGCCTCCACTCCAGAAGTCGATGCCTCCAGTCCAGAAGTCGATGCCTCCAGTCAGGAAGTCGGCGCCTCCAGTCAGGAAGTCGGCGCCTCCAGTCCAGAAGTCGACGCCTCCAATCCAAAAGTCGACGCCTCCAGCCCGGAGGTCGACGCCTCCAGCCCAGATGTCAACGCCCCCAGCCCAGGGGTCGACGTCGCCTCCAGCCCAGGGGTCGACGTCTCCTCCTCCAGCCCAGAGGTCGGTGACGTCTCCTCCTCCAGCCCAGAGGTCGGCGACGTCTCCTCCAGCCCAGAAGTCGACGACGTCTCCTCCAGCCCAGAAGTCGACGACATCTCCTCCAGCCCAGAAGTCGACGACATCTCCTCCAGCCCAGAAGTCGACGACGTCTCCTCCAGCCCAGAATTCGACGACGCCTCCTCCAGCCCAGAAGTCGACGACGCCTCCTCCAGCCCAGAAGTCGACGACTTCTCCACCAGCCCAGAAGTCGACGACGTCTCCTCCAGTCCAGAAGTCGACGACGTCTCCTCCAGCGTCTCTACCTGCCGAGTCTACCCCTGCAGCTGCTCTGCCTCCGGTCACCGCCGGTCCTGCCCTCGCCAGGTGCGGAGGGGCCACGCCTACAGCCCATCAGACGGAGCTCGCCGGCCTCCAAGTGGAGCTTGACCGGCTCCGTCAACTCATCAGCCTCCAGGAGTTCCAGCTGGACACCCTATCCTCCTCGTATCTCCAGGAGAAGGTTTCTGTCCAGCCAGCGGCTCCGCCTCCGGTCCAGTCAGCAGCTCCCTCGTCTCCAGGCCAAAGGACCGAACCCACAGCCCATCCAACAGAGCTCGCCGGTCTCCGAGCTGAGCTGGTCCGACTCCGTCAGATTTTCAGTCTCCAGGAGCTCCTGGTGGACAATCTAACCTCCCTGCTTTTCCAGTTACCGGCTCCACCAGGTCCTGCGCCACCAGTCCAGTCTGCGCCAGGTCCCGCGCCACCAGTCCAGTCAGCGCCAGGTCCCACGCCACCAGTCCAGTCTGCGCCAGGTCCCGCGCCACCAGTCCAGTCAGCGCTAGGTCCCGCGCCACCCGTCCAGTGAGCGCCAGGTCCCGCGCCAGCCGTCCAGTCAGCGCCAGGTCCCGCGGTGGTCCAAGAGGCTCCGTCCCCGGGCCAGCCTGTCCAAGAGGCTCTGCCCCCGGGCCAGCCTGTCCAGTTGTCAGTGCACAGTCCGGCACCACCAGCCAGGGAAGCGGTCCCGTCTGCAGCGGCTCCGCCTCCACTCCAGAAGTTGGCGGCCCCTCCTGCGGCACCTCCACTCCAGAAGTCGGCGGCGCCTCCAGTCCAGAAGTCGGCGCCTCCAGTCCAGAAGTCGGCGCCTCCACTCCAGAAGTCGGCGCCTCCAGTCCAGAAGTCGACGCCTCCAGTCCAGAAGTCGACACCTCCAGTCGAGAAGTCGACACCTCCAGTCGAGAAGTTGACGCCTTCAGTCCGGAAGTCGACGCCTCCAGCCCGGAGGTCGACGCCTCCAGCCCGGAGGTCGACGCCTCCAGCCCAGAGGTCTACGCCTCCAGCCCAGACGTCGACGCCCCCAGCCCAGACGTCGACGCCCCCAGCCCAGACGTCGACGCCTCCAGCCCAGACGTCGACGCCCCCAGCCCAGACGTCGACGCCCCCAGCCCAGACGTCGGCGTCGCCTCCAGCCCAGGGGTCGACGTCTCCTCCTCCAGCCCAGGGGTCGACGTCTCCTCCTCCAGCCCAGAGGTCGGCGACGTCTCCTCCAGCCCAGAAGTCGACGACGTCTCCTCCAGCCCAGAAGTCGACGACGTCTCCTCCAGCCCAGAAGTCGACGACGTCTCCTCCAGCCCAGAAGTCGACGACGTCTCCTCCAGCCCAGAAGTCGACGACGTCTCCTCCAGCCCAGAAGTCGACGACGTCTCCTCCAGCCCAGAAGTCGACGACGTCTCCTCCAGCCCAGAAGTCGACGTTGTCTCCTCCAGCCCAGAAGTCGACGTTGTCTCCTCCAGCCCAGAAGTCGACGACGTCTCCTCCAGCCCAGAAGTCGACGACGTCTCCTCCAGCCCAGAAGTCGACTACGTCTCCTCCAGCGTCTCTACCTGCCGAGTCTACCCCTGCAGTGGCTCTGCCTCCGGTCACCGCCGGTCCTGCCCTCGCCAGGTGCGGAGGGACCACGCCTACAGCCCATCAGACGAAGCTCGCCGGCCTCCAAGTGTAGCTTGATCGGCTCCGTCAACTCATCAGCCTCCAGGAGTTCCAGCTGGACACCCTATCCTCCTCGTATCTCCAGGAGAAGGTTTCTGTCCAGCCAGCGGCCCCGCCTCCGGTCCAGTCAGCAGCTCCCTCGTCTCCAGGCCAAAGGACCGAGCCCACAGCCCATCCAACAGAGCTCGCCGGTCTCCGAGCTGAGCTGGTCCGACTCCGTCAGATTTTCAGTCTCCAGGAGCTCCTGGTGGACAATCTAACCTCCCTGCTTTTCCAGTTACCGGCTCCACCAGGTCCTGCGCCACCAGTCCAGTCTGCGCCAGGTCCCGCGCCACCAGTCCAGTCAGCGCCAGGTCCCGTGCCACCCGTCCAGTCAGCGCCAGGTCCCGCGCCACCCGTCCAGTCAGCGCCAGGTCCCGCGCCACCCGTCCAGTCAGCGCCAGGTTCCGCGCCACCCGTCCAGTTAGCGCCAGGTCCCGCGCCACCCTTCCAGTCAGTGCCAGGTCCCGCGGTGGTCCAATAATCTCCGCCCCCGGGCCAGCCTGTCCAAGAGTCTCCGCCCCGGAGCCAGCCTGTCCAAGAGGCTCTGCCCCCGGGCCAGCCGGTCCAGTTGTCAGCGCACAGTCCGGCGGCACCAGCCAAGGAAGCGGTCCCGTCTGCAGCGGTTCCGCCTCGACTCCAGAAGTTGGCGGCCCCTCCTGCGGCGCCTCCACTCCAGAAATCGGCGGCGCCTCCAGTCCAGAAGTCGATGCCTCCAGTCCAGAAGTCGATGCCTCCAGTCAGGAAGTCGGCGCCTCCAGTCAGGAAGCCGGCGCCTCCAGTCAGGAAGTCGGCGCCTCCAGTCCAGAAGTCGATGCCTCCAGTCAGGAAGTCGGCGCCTCCAGTCAGGAAGTCGGCGCCTCCAGTCCAGAAGTTGACGCCTCCAGTCCAAAAGTCGACGCCTCCAGCCCGGAGGTCGACGCCTCCAGCCCAGATGTCAATGCCCCCAGCCCAGGGGTCGACGTCGCCTCCAGCCCAGTGGTCGACGTCTCCTCCTCCAGCCCAGAGTTCGGCGACGTCTTCTCCTCAAGCCCAGAGGTCGGCGACGTCTCCTCCAGCCCAGAAGTCGACGACGTCTCCTCCAGCCCGAAAGTCGACGACGTCTCCTCCAGCCCAGAAGTCGACGACGTCTCCTCCAGCCCAGAAGTCGACGACGTCTCCTCCATCCCAGAAGTCGACGACGTCTCCTCCAGCCCAGAAGTCGACGACGTCTCCTCCAGCCCAGAAGTCGACGACGTCTCCACCTGCCCAGAAGTCGACGACGTCTCCTCCAGTCCAGAAGTCGACGACGTCTCCTCCAGCGTCTACCTGCCGAGTCTACCCCTGCAGCGGCTCTGCCTCCGGTCACCGCCGGTCCTGCCCTCGCCAGGTGCGGAGGGGCCACGCCTACAGCCCATCAGACGGAGCTCGCCGGCCTCCAAGTGGAGCTTGACAGGCTCCGTCAACTCATCAGCCTCCAGGAGTTCCAGCTGGACACCCTATCCTCCTCGTATCTCCAGGAGAAGGTTTCTGTCCAGCCAGCGGCTCCGCCTCCGGTCCAGTCAGCAGCTCCCTCGTCTCCAGGCCAAAGGACCGAACCCACAGCCCATCCAACAGAGCTCGCCGGTCTCCGAGCTGAGCTGGTCTGACTCCGTCAGATTTTCAGTCTCCAGGAGCTCCTGGTGGACAATCTAACCTCCCTGCTTTTCCAGTTACCGGCTCCACCAGGTCCTGCGCCACCAGTCCAGTCTGCGCCAGGTCCCGCGCCACCAGTCCAGTCAGCGCCAGGTCCCGCGCCACCAGTCCAGTCTGCGCCAGGTCCCGCGCCACCAGTCCAGTCTGCGCCAGGTCCCGCGCCACCAGTCCAGTCAGCGCTAGGTCCCGCGCCACCCGTCCAGTGAGCGCCAGGTCCCGCGCCAGCCGTCCAGTCAGCGCCAGGTCCCGCGGTGGTCCAAGAGGCTCCGTCCCCGGGCCAGCCTGTCCAAGAGGCTCCGTCCCCGGGCCAGCCTGTCCAAGAGGCTCTGCCCCCGGGCCAGCCTGTCCAGTTGTCAGTGCACAGTCCGGCGGCACCAGCCAGGGAAGCGGTCCCGTCTGCAGCGGTTCCGCCTCCACTCCAGAAGTTGGCGGCCCCTCCTGCGGCACCTCCACTCCAGAAGTCGGCGGCGCTTCCAGTCCAGAAGTCGGCGCCTCCAGTCCAGAAGTCGGCGCCTCCACTCCAGAAGTCGGCGCCTCCAGTCCAGAAGTCGACGCCTCCAGTCCAGAAGTCGACACCTCCAGTCGAGAAGTCGACGCCTCAAGTCCAGAAGTTGACGCCTTCAGTCCGGAAGTCGACGCCTCCAGCCCGGAGGTCGACGCCTCAAGCCCGGAGGTCGACGCTTCCAACCCAGAGGTCG